TGCCCACCGGTTGCCCCTCACAGCCCTGCCCCAAGCTGACCGAGCTGGAAGTGCCAGCGAGGCAGACAGAAACAGATGCTTCTGGGAAAGATGCACTGAGCAGGCAGCCAAACGGGGAAGGCAGGCAGCCCCACAGCAGGCAGAGCTTCATGCTCCCTGCTGCAGAGGTGGAGCTCACCCTGCTCAGCACCAGCGATGGCTTGTGCCCATGCTTAAATTTCAGAAGTTGGCTCTGGTGCATGAGAGCCTTCCCCTTCTCCTCATCAAGGCCCACCAGCACCACAGTTCCCCACATGGGACAAACCCAAGCGCTCATTCATGGGCAGAGCGAGTTTACTCCTCACCCTGTCCTCCAGAGTGGGATCAGTGAGCTGCCAGGCACCTGGCTGCAAAGCCACCGCAGGCCAGGGAGGGCCCGGGCACAGGCATCAACACGCAGACACCCAGAGAGGAAAGCCTGGAAACATCCCAGGCAGCTCAGGGTGAGGAGGCATTGCAGCACGGTTAGCAGGGTCTGTGTCCCTTTCCCCTACAGAGATACGCTCTGCCTCCAGGCAGGTACAAGCTGCTGCAGCCATGCAGTGAACAGATCAGATGGCCCCATTTTCCTCCCTGCTCTGCAGCCCTGACACGGGACAGCAAAGCCTCCTTGCTTACCAAACAACCCTGGTATGATCCAAATGATCCAACACCAATGGCAGGACTCGGAGCCACCTGTGACCATGTTTGTCATGACACAGGTAGTGCAGCTCCCTCTGGGAAGAGGGCACTTGCTCAGCAGCCAATTCCAGCTCACGCAAAGCAGCGAGCTGTGCAGGAACTGACTCCCCAGCAAAAGCAGCCAAAGCAGCAGCGCATCCCAGAGAACGCAGCCAGGGCCCGTTTTGGAAATGCCAGTTCCCAACTTGTTTTCACAGGGAGCCACATCTCTTGTGTCCTGCTTGCATCACCACAGCTTCAAGGCAGCCGTGCCTGCTGCCTTTCCTTCCTACACTGTTTACTCTTCTGGCTTCTCAATGCTCTGCAATCCAGTATCAGTCAGAATCTCGCTGCAATTCACTTTATTACTCACCGGTTGCAATCGAACAGATTACATATTCTCCCCAAACAACTCACCCTCCGCTTATGAACTCTGTCCTGCCAGGATCAAGCCATAAACAGAGCTGTTCCTTCCTAGGCAGGCAGCTCATTTCTCAAATGCTGGTGCGCTGCCTGACTAAAGCCACACCTCAGTGCAGACCACGACCCACAGGACACAATTTTAACAGACTGTGACAGCACCAAGCAAGGACAAGAGGTCTGACGGGGGTGAAGAGCCTTAGTGAGGTGCAGCCTCCAGTGCTGCAGGAGGACAAGTTCTCAGAGAACCAAAAAATGCCACGGGCCAAATTTCAGGTTAATCACAGAGGTGTATTAGCCGCATTTCCAGTGCTCTGGAGCACAGAGCCTCTCTGACACTGGTGCCACCAATACATCACAACCGTCTCTCAGAAAACTCCATCCGCAGCCAGAATCCACCCCGCCGGCTGTGGCACAGGCCGGTGGGCGCACGCCTGCAGCCGCAGCTTCTCTCTTGCCCTCTTTCACTTTCTAGATTTCATGGCTGTGACCACCATGCCCCCCAGGAGGGCCGCGAAGGTGAAGCCCTGGGCCAGGATCCGTGCCCGCATCATCAGCTGAGACCGACGGGTGTTGCCTCTCTTGAAGCTGATCAGTCCGTAGGTCAGGACGCCGACCGTGCAGAGGCAGCCTGCGGAGAAGGACGGAGGGACGGCTCAGCGGAGCAGGGCTGGGGTTACCAGGGTCAGCTAAAGCCTCCATCTTGCCCCCCCTCTCCCCCCGCCCCCACACCTGAGCGTTGCTGACATGTTAGACAACACCCTCCAACCAGGGACATGCCTCCCCCGAGGGCAGCCCCGTGGGTTTGGGCTCAAAAG